AAATTATATATATTTATTATACTAAAACTATACTAAAAGAATAGAAGAAAAGATTTCATCAGAAGGAAAAGAAGGGAATGGAAAAGAATTACAATAAAATCTTGTGACTGCTCAGTCCCAAAACAGCTAGACCTGCAGTTGGTCATCAAATAGAAACAACTCACATGGACCAATCAAAGATGCACCTGTTGCATTTCACAGCAGCAGATAATTATTGGTTTTCTTTTCCTCTGAGGTTTCTCAGCTTCTCAGGAGAAAAAAATCCTAGCAAAGGATGTTTCAGAAAATATGTCCATGAAAGAGATTGGGCACTGGAACAGGCTCCCCAGGGAATTGGTCTGTCCTGGTTTAGGGCAGATTTGGGAGAAAACCTCCAAAGGAGAGCCCTCCAGAAAACAAACCCACACAGCCCCTGCTCCCAACCGGGTCAGGAAGGATTCCTCAGAGAGAAGTGGAAAGAACCTGTTTGTTTAACAGGCACAGCACCCCCCATTCACAAAATTAACAATACCAGGTGACAACACTCTTTCACTGCTCTGACAAAGATGACAAATTCAGAAAGTCTCTCTGGGGGTGGTTGCTCTGTTATCAGTCCCGCTGGCACTGGGGGTGGCTGCTGCCCAGAGCAGGCCCCAGTAGGCCATAAGGTGCAAACTCTTGGTGTTCCCAGGTCCCAGTCCAGAGCAGGTTTGAGAAGGTCCAAAAAAAGGAAAGGAGAAACAGTCCCGAAGAAATTTGGACTGTTTAGCTAAACTAACCAATGAGCAGAAGCAAGAGCAAAGCAAAAAGCCCAGCAAAAAGCAGAAGCAGCACCATGTACTGCCCCGTCTCTGTGTCCCTCCAGCCGTGGTGGAGCAGCTAATAACAAAACCAAAACAAAACATTCGCTATTCAGAACCAGTCTTGAAGGCACAGAACACAATATCCAGCATAAACAGAACACACAAATGGGGATACACACATCATAACGTCACCCTAGGACATGGTCACAACACCAAGCCTGACAGAGACCATAGAGTGTTTGGACAACACTCAGGCACGTGGTAGGATTGTTGGGGTTGTCTTCTACAGAGCCAGGAGCTGGGCTTTGATGGTTCTGGTGGGTCCTTTCCAACTGAGGATGTTCTGTGATTCCCTGACCCTGCAGCCCTGCTGCCACTCTCAGGTGTGTTGCCATGCTGCAAGATGGGACCATCTCCAGTCAGTGTCTGTTGCTATGTTGCTGGGTTTTGGAGGGGCCAAAATCAGTCCCAGATCACTGGGAAAGCAATGAAATTTATTTCTCCATCATTCAGGACTCAGCATTGCATTGGCACACCTGGTTCATTGTTCAGGCTAGAGGTTTCAGTGATGCAGCATCTTTCCTCTCTTCCTTTTGTCAATCCCGATTAACCAAGCATGCATTGGAGGGAGAAAATGAGTTTTTCAGGAGTAGCTTTAAGGAAGAACCTAGGGGTGCTGGATTTGTGTGTGGGTAAGAAACCTCTCCCTACAGATGATCACTCCAAAGGAAGAAAGCCAGGATGGAGCTGACAGGAGACGAGAAGTGTAAAATGGTGTGAGGAAGCCAATGCGGTGCTCGTACAAAGAGCCAGTATTGATACAGATGACAGGGCAGGGCTGAGACTGACAGCCGTGGGAAGGAGGAAATAAAAGAGATTCTTCATTATATTGCCTGCCTTTTCCTGCCTGTGAGTTAAGAGCCTGGATCTGAATTAAATACCAAGGGAATGGGAGCTGCGTGGGGGGAAGAATCGGCTCAGTCTGAGCCACCACTGTGCAGAAACAATGAGCAAGGGATCTGAAACCAGGGAATTTCCCCCTCCCTGCTCATTCAAATGCATTTCATAGGATTTTTCCTTTGTGCTCCTGCCTGGTGTAATATCACCTTGAGCCTCTTTTGGTGCTGTTTCCCATCACCTTGTTCCCAGCAAACCTTGATTTGGTTTACAGTGGATTTCACTGGGAGTACAGTGGTGTGTGCTGCTGGTGTAATGTTTTGTGCTACTGTTAACAGGATGGCTGGGGACTCTGTTTGAAGTGTTAATTAGCAGCAATTAATAAGAAGTGAAAAATTAATACCCTGTGTCAGCTTTCTTTGCTAGTTAGTAATACCAACACTAAAGCTCAGCGCTGTTTTGAGGCTGGTGTTTGCATAAGAGTTTGGTCTTGTTGTCACATGCTGTTGGGAAAATAGTGAAGTGCTCTCCTGCCATAACTGGTAAACTTGTTATTCCCAAAATAAACCAAGTAATGCCTCTAATAGATCCAGTTTCCTTGGGAATGGATGCTCTCAACATGACATTTCAAAACCAGTATGTCCAAGCAAAAAACACATTAAAATAGAGTTTAAAACCCCAAAAATGTTGATGATGTTGCTGAATGTGCCTCAGAGATTCTGTATTTCCCCCTTTTAATTGAAGTGGGCTCAAAGCCAGCCCCAGATGGGGCCACTGAGGATGGGTCCCAGTTGTGTTGCTGACACCTTGGGCAGGTTCCTGCTGATTTGCCCATCCACTTTTCATTTCTGATGGCAAATTCCATGGTCCAGGGGTTTGAGTCATGGGTCTGGTGGCAGATTTGGGGCTTGGCTGTGTAAAGGGAAAAAAAAAAAAGGCAAATACTGTTGTTGTCTGATTGGGCACCTTCAGCTTTTTGTCAGCTCATAACTCTGTTTTATCAGCATCATAGAAGCATCACAAGATTTAACTACAATACTGAGAGGATTATGTTTCCTCTTGGTATTTATATTGTTAACCCTGAGCTCTCTTTAAGATGATGGATTTGTTGTGTTTAAATTGATGCCTCTTTTTCTCTCCATTCTTTGAATTTTTTTTGTTAGACCCAGGTTATCTTCCATCTTTGTCTGGTCCCTGGCAAAAATTAAAACAGCCACATCCCCCCAAGGTTTAGCTTCAGCTGGCATCCCCCCTCCTCTGACATTTAACAAGCTTGATGTAAAGTCCTGATACTTAGCTAATTTATTATTAATGATATTTACGGAAGTGTCTCTATCAAAGGAGAAGTGGGTTTTTTTTTTTGACTTTCAGTAAACTGACTGCTTCTTAGTTTCATGGTTAATTGAAACTTAATATACACTGGGGATGAGTGATGTGTATGTTCAGAGGTTAGCTGCACTCTAATATTGGAGTTTATAATACACTTAAGTCATTAGCAAGTCTCATGTCAACAAAGAATAAAGATGTAGTGCAGTGGCAGTGGGAAAAGGGTCATATTTGGGGAGTATTTCATATTTGCTGAGCACTCTGTGAAGAGACCAACAACCATATTGCTCTGAGCTGGGTTATGATCTTCATTTTTTTAAAATACTCCTTTTTCTTTCATTAGCAGATTCCTTTGGGGTGGGGAACAAAAATTTCTAACTTTGCCTGAACAACCTTTGGTGGGGGTTGAATCACTTGACTTGGTAATTTGGTTCCATCAAGGATTTTTTTTTTGTGAAACACCCATTTTTGCAGGTTTTAATTGCAGCTGTGATTGCTCCAGCAGACATTCCCACAATGGTCCAGCTGATGGATATCAGACACTTGACATGCTCCTCGTCTTTTTCAGTTCTGATCTAACTGCTCACACACGTCCATTTCTTCTTTTAAATTGCCACAGGAGCTGCCTTAAAAACTGGGAGTGAGAAATCCACAGCAGAACACTCTCCTCCTTTCTGTTTTATAACCATCATATCTAGTCTTCTAGAATATGCCTCCAGAGTAGTAAAAGTTGAAAAAATCCCATCTATTTTTACAATCTTATTACATCCTGCTTTGCCTGGCCTGTGGCTGTAAACTTCTTTCCTACTTTTAGTCACACATTTTGCAGAGCATTTGGCACAGTCCTCTCTTGTCATGCAGGGTTTGGAGGCTCCTCTAATAAAATAAGCAGGACCAATTCTCCCCATCAGATATTCTGGCCACACACCTTCCCTGCTGCCTGGCTTGGCTTCAGCATCTCTTGTGTGAATTGCTGCTTCCCTCTGTGCCCATAACCCCAGCTCTGGTTTCTCTTTTTCAGTTTTCCTTTGACACCTCGTAATTCATCAGCATCTCAGAGTTTTGCTGAAAAGCTCACTCTGGAGTTGTTTTTAATCTACTCCTAAAGGTGTATCCTGGGGTGTTGCTTGTCTGGTGTGGCTGGAAATACAGTTCTCATTTAGTCTCATGCAAGATCTGAGCATTGTGCCCTTCCTCATACTGTTTTTCATTCCTGTGTGTTTGTATTCAGCTTTGAGTTTACTGTGGTCACTCCTGCTAGAAGAAACTCTTCTGCTAACACAACCCAATTTAAAATAAGCTACTATTTCCTGCCCTGCGTGTTAAAACTGGTACAGTTACCTTAAGTCAGTCCTCACTCAATAAACAGTCAGCACTATTACATGAAGGTATCTGCATTTTGCATGCTCAGTTTTATTTTCTAGAGTTACTCCAGTCTCTTTCTCATGAGTATTTTTGCTTCAGTGTTTCCTCTGTTTCATTATCACAGATTTCTCCCTTTGGAAGTTTGAATATTTATGGAATGAGATGTATCTCACAGTTTTAGTGATGAAAAAACTGGAAATCAAGGGCTGAAATGGCTGGAAGATGGTGGAGATGTTTTTTTTTAGCATGGGTTGTGCTGCCTTGTGGGCCCATCCTTCTCTCTCTGTTGGTGAGCTGGAGGGAACTTTGAGGTGTGAAGCCTCTGGATGCTGTTTATTACCTTATTATCTTCTCTCTTGTCATTAATTTTGCTGTTGCTCGTATGATATTATTGCCACAAAGGTCCTTAGTTGTGGTTTTCATCCGACCCCAGCTTCAGGCTGGAGACAAGAGCAGGATGGAAGGGTCACCAGCAGATTCACAGAATTATTTAGGTTGTGAAAGACCTCTGAGATCTTTCATTCCAACTGTATCAAGATGGGGTGATGTGAAAAGAGTGGGGAAAGGCTGACGGAATGGGTTGGTGTACCATAAATCACTCATTGCTTTTTTTCCAAATTTTCCTTGTAGCTTGTCCTTGCTGCAGGATGAATTAGGAAGGCCAAGCCTGTTCCTCTGAGCCATGGAGACCAGGGCATCCTTCATTGCCAGCATGAGAGAGACCCAGCAGCTCTCCCCAGAGCAGGATCCCAGCCCAGCCAATGGTGATGGGGAGCACTTTGATTCAGGTGAGTGTGGGGTCCCAGTTGTTGGTGTCTCTGGGTCTGGATTTAAGGCCCTTGAGATGGCAGTTCATGTTCAGACTCAGGTGTTTATTATTTCTTATCAGTAAAACAGTCTCACTACTGTGAGTTGGGCAGCTTTTCATTAGAAGGCACAAAATGGCCAACAATCTCTTGTTACAAGGGCTTTTAAGACTGACCTATCCAATTAAGAGCTGACACCTAGATTATTCTCCCTTTTAACCCAATAACTGATCCCACAGAGCTGCAATGGGGACTTTTCTGCCCAATTACAAAACACCACCCAAACCCATGGAGAAGGAGGAAGAAGAAGCATGAAGAAGAAACCCAGGATGATACCCTGTGCCCTCCATCTTGCTTCCATCCACAACACACTAAAAATCCCAAACCCTCAATTTCTCACCAAGTGATACACCTACACTGCTCTCTATAATCTATTTCACACTTTTGTGTGCCACTCAGCCTTCAGTTTTCTCACTTCTTGTAGCAGCTCAGTGATTTTCCTATTTCCTTGGACACCAGATCCTTGGATTTCCAGACCGGACACATCTGGGTTGGTCTGGTCACCACTGGATCTATTTTTATCTATTTTTATCTATTTTTATCTATTTTTATCTATTTTTATCTATTTTTATCTATTTTTATCTATTTTTTATCTATTTTGAGAGATAGGAATCTCTAAGATGAGATTCAGTTGGCCAACCATAGACTTTTTTTTTGGGGAATGAAGAGAACTGGCCTGTAATGCCTGAATTTTGGTGGGGACAAGGATTTTGATGACTCTCCCAAGGCTGTGCCAGAGGTTTGTGGTTGATCAGGTGTCTGTGTGTCTCCCCACACCTGTTGTGGGAGCATTTCAGTGCTCTGTTCACTCAAAAAGTCATTTTTATGTATCTAGATGCTATAAATAAGATGTCTAAGCAATTTGCCTTAAATACTTTCTCCTACAGTGAAGCCTGAGGGGAAAAAAATTAAAAATCAGTGTTTGTGGAGCCACAGGGTTTGGGTCTTTTATCCCTTTTCTTTTCCATAGCTGAACATTCCAGGGGGCTGTTAACAGCTGGAGCAGTTGCATTTTTATAATGTCAATGCATGAGCACTTTAAAGCCATTGAGAGGCTCTCAGATAATGACTTGTTGATTTTATTTGTCATCCTGGGCTTGTTTATACATCACCATATTGTAAAGCAGCCAGCCTTGACTCTTTCATTAAGAAAAAGCTCTGGACCTAAGTGCCAATAATTGGAAAGGGAGCTGGTATGTAAAACAGGTTTAATGGCAGATTTATCACCTTTCAGGGTGTCCTGTGCTCCTCAGCAGTTGGGTTTTTTTGTGATGGATGAGGAGATTTGTGTGCAGCCCTGTGGGTGGTGTTGGGTCCTTTGGGCTGGTCCCATCCCTGTGTCTGCTCTGCCAGAATTCCAGCAGGGAACAAAGTCCATTGAAAAACCATTTTAGAAAACATACAGTCCCTTCAGAGTCCCTTGTGGTGAAATGAAGCAAAATAAACCAGTGATGCTGTGATAAATGAGTACTCTGACATTATTTTTACAGACCTTGTAAAAGTAATTTCCTGATAAAGTCTGCAGATAAAGCATGGTGGAGGAGCCAGGCTGGTGATGTGTCAGAGAGGAATGAGCTGACAGCGAGGGAAGGCTGCAGCTCTCACTCTGCCTTGCCTCTGGGCCTTATAAAAACTCTTTATTTGGGTTTGGAAAGGAGAGATCTGGGTGGTATTTTGTTAAACAGGGGGTGGTGTGAGTTTTGCTGGGCAGGATGTGAAATAACCTTCCAGTGAGAGTCTCTGTGGCAGAGCAGGTCAGGTGTGACCATGTTCACAGGAGTCTGAGGGTGAGGGAAGAGACAAGGATCTGACTCCATGTTTCAGAAGGCTGATTTATTGTTTTATGATATATATTACATTAAAACTATACTAAAAGAATAGAAGAAAGGATTTCATCAGAAGGCTAGCTAAGAATAGAAAAAGAAAGAATGATACCAAAGGCTTGTGTGTCGGACTCTCTGTCCGAGCCAGCTGACTGTGATTGGCCATTAATTAGAAACATCCAACATGGGCCAATCAAAGATCCACTGTCACAGACAACTTTTATAAAAAATCCTTTCTTTAGGATTTTTTCCTCCTGAGAAGCTGAGAGGCCTCAGGAACATAATGTAAACAATGGTTATCTGCTGCTGTGGAATGCAACAGGTGGATGGATCTTTGATTGCCCCATCTTGGATGTTTCTAATTAATGGCCAATCACAGTCAGCTGGCCCTCTCTCTGTCCGAACCACAAACCTTTGTTATTCTTTCTTTTCTATTCTTAGCTTAGCTAGCCTTCTGAGATGAAACCTTTTCTTCTATTCTTCTAGTATAGTTTTAATGTAATATACATCATACAATAATAAATCAAGCCTTCTGAAATATGGAGTCAGATCCTCATCTCTTCCCTCAACATAAGACCCCTGTGAACATGGTCACAGATCCACCTGTTGCATTCCACAGCAGCAGATAATCAATGTCTACATTTTGTTCCTGAGGCCTCTCAGCTTCTCAGGAGGAAAAATCCCAAGGAAAGGATTTTTCATATTAACCCTGTGACAGTCGGGGTTAATAAGGTTGTGAAGGACTTGATGCATCCATAACTGGCATCTATTTATATGGGTTAAAAACCTTTCTCCAAATTCTGGAGAGGACTCTGACCTGCCTGGAGACTTTGCTCCTTGCAAGGTCTGGGGATGATGCACTGAACTGGCTGAAAACCTCTGTGGAGTGAATCTTTGCTGTAAGGCTGCTGAGGAAGGCTGGAGAAAAGGACACATGCTGAAGGAGAGACTCACACAGGAATTTAGAGCAAAAACAGGAATAAAAACTGACAGTACACAGAGCTGAGGGAAAGGGAAGTGCTCTGACACGGAAGTGCCTGACCAGGAGAGAAGAGAGCCGAGGGCTGACCTGGAAGTCACAGAATCACAGAATTATTTAGGTTGGAAGAGACCTCTGAGAACTTTGGGTCCAGCCATTCCCCCAGCACTGCCAAGAGCACACCCTAAGCCACGTCCCCAAGTGCCACATCTCTGTGTCCTTTAAATCCAGGGGTAGTGACTCCCCCACTGCCCTGGGCAGCCTGTTCTAGATCTCCTGGCCATGTCCTGAGGTGGAGATGCCCTTGGGATTGTTGGGACAGCCCATCCCAACCCCACAGAGACAGATAGCAGGGAGAGATGAGGCACGGGGGATGATCCTGGAAGTCACAGAATCACAGAATTATTTAGGTTGGGAAAGATCTTTGAGAGCTTTGGGTCCAGCCATCCTCCAGCACTGCCAAGAGCACACCCTAAGCCGTGTCCCAAAGTGCCACATCCCTGTGTCCTTTAAATCCAGGGATGGTGACTCCCCCACTGCCCTGAGCAGCCTGTTCCAAGTGTCCTGGCCATGTCCTGAGGTGGAGATGCCCTTGGGATTGTTGGAACAGCCCATCCCAACCCCACAGGCATAGGTAGCAGGGACAGATGAGCACAGGGGATGATGCTCTTCAAGCTTTTCATGTCAGGTGCTTCTGACCTTTGGTGGGTTGTGCTCAGGGTAAAAAGTTGTTTTAGCAATTTTAAGCCTGGAATAATCATATCTGCCCATCTCCTGATGGACTTCGTTTTAGAGGCTCAGCCTTTGCAATCTCTGCACACAGCTCTTCTCTGTAGCATTAACTCTGCAGGGATGCAGGCATGAAGGCTGAAAAATATCCCTGTTCATCTAAATTGCCTGCCTGCATGATACAGAATTGTTCCTCTAGGCTCCTACCTTGTGGTTAAGTTGTGGCTTATCATTCAGTCAAGGTTGAACAAACCCCTCATTCTGGGTCAGATATCTCAAGTAGAGCCAGCTCCTGAGCCTGGAGGTTTTTGCAGTGATTGCAAAAAAACAAAACAAAGCCCATTCTTTATTCTGCCATGAATTTGTCTATTTTTGGGTTGTAATCATGGAATTGGGTTATTTCTTGCTGTGTTGGAGAGTCATCTGGTAGCCTCTTTATCACTGGAGTAAATGTTGATTTGCATCTCCATATTTAAGAAGATGATTTGAGTTTAGGGCAAGGAGTCAGGCTTGATGCAGCAGCATGTGACGATGTTCACAGGGGTCTTACGTTGAGGGAAGAGACAAGGATTTGACTCCATATTTCAGAAGGCTTGATTTATTCTTTTATGATATATATTACATTAAAACTATACTAAAAGAATAGAAGAAAAGATTTCATCTCAGAAGGCTAGCTAAGCTAAGAATAGAAAAGAATGAATAACAAAGGTTTGTGGCTTGGACAGAGAGCCAAGCCAGCTGACTGTGATTGGCCATTTTTAATTACAAACATCTAACATGAGCTAATCACAGATGCACCTGTTGCATTCCACAGCAGCAGATAACCATTGTTTACATTATGTTCCTGAGGCCTCTCAGCTTCTCAAGAGGAAAAATCTTAAGGAAAGGATTTTTTATAAAAGTTGTCTGGGACAGCAGCATGCAGGTGTTTAATAGTGTTGACAGCTCAGTTTTGAACTCCCAGACAGATCTTCACCCTCTCAAAAACCCTCTTCTGTTCCCCTTTTTCCCCCCTCACCTACATGGGTTTGGTGCCACAGGCAGCAAATAAAAACTGTGTCTTCCCCTTTTAATAATGAGAGTTTTCCCCTTGCACAACATCATTTTCTCTGGTCCTGGAAACTGGAGACCTGTAGCAATAATTGCAATAAATTAACCTAGCCTTTTTCTTCATAAAACTGTCTGGGGAGGGTTCTTAATTCAGTTTGTCATGAGTCACTTTAATTACATCATGACCACGCTGATGAATGCTGGGGCAGGTAAAGGGTCTTGCAGAGTTTGCCTGATAAATGCTTATTGCAAAGAGCTCATTGCCAGACTGTAAATATTTTTGCTCTGGGGATGAAACTGGGCTTGCAAGATTGCTTGGGAACAAAATGAAAACAATCAGATTTGGCTGATTTTCTGGAAGTGAAAGAAGATTTATTTTTAATTATTGCTGGGTGAGTTTCAGAGATGGTTTTGGGGCCTTGGCTGTGCCTCAGTGTGGTTATAAAGGAAGAAAATAAAAAGTGGTCATGTCCAGCCCTTGCTGTGGGGTGTGGATGGGGGAGAGGGGACACAGAGCCCTAAATCTGAAGGGGAGCAGGGATAAGAAGAGAGCAGGGGTCTAGTGAGGTTTGGGGAAAGCAGCTGTAGCTTGTAGAAGGGATTTATCTAAGATTTATGGGTGCAGTGATGCTGAGGAAGGAGAAGAAGGGATGGCAGGGGTGAAAAAGGGTCTCACTCACCCCAAGGGTTGGTGTTTGGTCTACACACAGCTCAGCCAACAGAAACATCTTTAATTTATCCCTGGGACACCACCAGGGCTGGGAGCGCTGTGAGGGCACAAGGACATTGCACCAGTGATGGTGGGCAGGCAGCCACGTCCCTCACAGCCTGGGAGTCACCAAATGCAAAATAAAAGAGCCCAAGTGCCTCTTGCAGTGTGTGACAGCTTTGTGCCCCCACTGCCATGGAAGCAGAGTCATTTCTGGTCTCAGTGTTGGCTGCTAAAAGCCCAGAGTCTGCTGAATTCATAGCCGGAGCTGGTCAAAACACAGATCCTTAAAGCAGGCTTTCTGTTTTCCCTTCTGTTGATGTTTATACTGGTTGCTATTCTCACCCTGAACTCTTTGACACAACTTTTGCCTTCTTTGGCTGTGTTTTAGGCTGCTTTTCTTTCTCTCATTTTTTAATTTTTTTTTTTTCTTCTCTTGAACAGATGAGGGCTCCAGCATTGAGGATGCAGACTTCAACTGGGACGAGTTCCTGGAGGAAACAGGAGCCAGTGCTGCTCCCCACACCTCCTTCAAACATGTAAGTGCTCCCTCTGAGCCCTGGGGGTGCTGGACACGTTCCCTCTTCTGGTTTTCTGGGGCTCTCTGGAGAACTGAAAGTGAAATCTTCCCATTTTGGGGGAGAAATTTTTTGGTTGAGCAAATAGACCAACCCTCAGTTGAGCAAGTATACCATATTATATTTGTCTTTATAAATAAAAGAATAATTTAAAACTGCCATTTCAATTGGAAATCTATCAGAGACAGGCTTACCTTGAGTTATAATCCCTCTGGATTCAGCAGCTGATAAGGTTCTAGGAATCCTGTGGTAGTGACAGGTCTGTGCTCTGCTCTGTGTTAGCACCAGCAGCATTTGAGGGAATCTCTGGAGATCACCTGGTCCAACCACCTTTGTCTGCAGGTGATTTTGTGGCTTGCTTTGTAGGGCTAAAGGAGCTGCAGGGATGAAAAACCTCTCTTTTATCTAGTCTGGAAAACCAGTACACTCCTCTATTTCCTGTTTTGTTTTCATGTTAACAACAGTTAACCCAGAGCATTGCAGGATGAAGGACCATAATTCTCTGTACTGGAGATCTGCAGGGCAGTGCTTATTGTGAAGTTTATTCTTGATCCAGCAGCTGTTTGGAGAAAGCATCTTGTCCCAGATTTCTGCTCCAGGCTCAAAGTAGAAAGTTTTGTGCTTCATGAAGCCCTTAAGGATGTCTTCAGTTGTGAGGAGATGTCCTACTGATCCTGCTGATCCTGCTGACTGCAGTGTCTCACAGCACCTCAATCCTGGGATTGTCATTGTGGGACAGATTGGTGCTGGAACAGCCCTTGGTGACTGTTTTACATTCTGAAACTTGATCCACAAAAATCTGGCCAAAAGCTGTTGGAGGAGATTGTATTACCTGTCTGATTCTCCTCTTGATGGGTCTGTCTGATTCTCCTCTTGATTCTCCTCTTGATGTGATTTCCAGTCACAAGTCTCTTGGCTTCCAGAGGACCTTGCTGGTGTTATGGTGAGCACAGGGTGCAGAAAAAAACCTCAAAAAACCAGTAAATGAATCACTCTCTCACTGTCTCTGTGACTGTGCTCACAGGGGTCTTAGGGTGAGGGAAGAGATGAGGATCTGACTCTGTGTTTCAGAAGGCTGATTTATTATTTTATGATATATATTATATTAAAACCATACTAAAAGAATAGAAGAAAGGATTTCATCAGAAGGCTAGCTAAGAATAGAAAAACAAAGAATGATAACAAAGGTTTGTGGCTCGGACAGGGAGTCTGAGCCAGCTGACTGTGATTGGCCATTAATTAGAAACAGCCACATGAGACCAATCCCAGATGCACCTGTTGCATTCCACAGCAGCAGATAACCATTGTTTACATTTTGTTCCTGAGGTCTCTCAGCTTTTCAGGAGGAAAAATACTAAGGAAAGGATTTTTTATAAAAGATGTCTGTGACAGGCATCAGGCTCAGGTGCTTTGAGCTGCAGCTGCCAGTCTGTACTGGGAGGAGGCCAGGAGATCCAGTTGGTACTGGGACATGGGCCAGTCTGTAGCCTGGATTGTTTGTGAGGACTCTGAGCATCTCTGAGGTCCTGGTTTGGCACTGATTAAGCAGTGCATGTCACAGGCCACCCTCAGTGTCACACCATGTCCAAAGGTCCCTCTCAGTTGTTCTGTGCCTCTGGGCATTGGTTCTGCTGGAAGTGCCCACCCCAGGAAAGGCACAGGGAGTGCAGATGACAGATGGGTTTGGCTGGGCATCCCTGGGGTCAGAAGCTGGAGCTGGATGAGTGAGGGATTACTGCTGATGGACCAGAGGAGTGTTTTCTCAGCAGCTTGGCATCCCCACATCTGTGAAATCCTTGAGCAAGTAGACCATGTTATATTTGTCTTTATAAATAAAAGAGTCATTTAAAACTGCCATTTCAATTGGAAGTCAATCAGAGACAAGCTTACCTAGAGTTATAATCCCTCTGCATTCAGGAGCTGATAAGGTTCTAAGAAACCTGTGACAGCCTGTCCTTAAATATCTCCTGAGGAGTGACAGGTTACATTTTGGATGGTTTTGTGAAGACAAGGCTGGCACCAGTGCACTGGCATCCACCTCTTCTTCATCAGCAGCAGCTAGAGGCATCCCACTGGTGCTTGGAGCACAGGTGGTGCTGCACCAGGCCCTGGTGTTCATCAGCAGTGTCCCAAAAGAGAAGCACTGGCATCTGCAGTGTCCTAGGGCACATTATAGGTGCCCTGTCACTGCTGAGATGAGTAGAGGTAACATCTCCATCAGATGGAGGACAGTGACCCAGAGAATTTACTACTTATCAGTGACAGGTCATACCTTGTTTTCCATGGGGGAATTGGTTGAGGCTTGAGCTGCTGAGGATAGGTGCAGAGGAAATTCTCTCCTTGGTCTGCCTGGTACAGCATTCAACCGTTGATGCTTATCAAGCCTCTAGAGGTTCTTCAGTGTTGTGATGTGACTAAATATTGTAGTTGGGCTTAACTCCTAGAGGTGCTCCACACCTGCATTTCTGTGCCCTGTGATGTGCCTGGTGGAGCTGTGCAGTGGGAAATGAAGCTTCATGTGGGTTATGCTGACTGTATCCAAGACACTGGGGACATTTAGGGGTTGGAGACGAGTGTCAGTAGTCTCTTGGATGTAGTACACCTGAGGACACCACTCCTGCATGTGGGAAATGAAGCTTCATTTGGGTTATGCTGGCTGTATCCAAGGCGTTGGGGACATGTAGGGCTTGAAGATGAGTGCCAGTCCTCTCTTGGATGTTGTACACCTGAAGGCACCACTCCTGCACTTCAGAACCTGTGGGACTTGCATCATGGGATATGAGCCAGTGAAGTAGGACTGGAACTGCCCAGAGAGAAGGAGGAGGAGGTGGTTGGATTAAGAAGCGCAACCAGCTCATGTCCTATCCCAGGGCTGCTCTTCAAGGGCAGCATTCCCAGGGGAGGAGAGGGGAGGTGTGGGGCATCTCCCTACCAAGCAGAAAAAGTTAACACCATTCCTTTCTCCTTTTGCAAGGTTGAAATCAGCCTTCAGAGCAGCTTCCAGCCAGGGATGAAGCTGGAGGTGGCCAACAAGAGCAGCCCAGACACGTACTGGGTGGCGACCATCATCACCACGTGCGGGCAGCTGCTGCTGCTGCGCTACTGCGGCTACGGCGACGACCGCAGGGCTGACTTCTGGTGTGACGTGATGACAGCAGACCTGCACCCCGTGGGCTGGTGCACGCAGAACAACAAGGTCCTGATGCCCCCAGAGGGTGAGTTCTGCCTGCTCTGCTGGGGTCCTGCTCTGCTGTAGGGCTCCAGGTTTCTGGTTGGGCTGGGATTGTTGGATTTGTGGGGTGTGCTGATGAAGGGAGGAGTGATGAGTCTGACTCTGTGATGAATCTGAGAACTCCATGTGCTCAGAAGGCTAATTTATTATTTCATGATAGTATATTATAGTAAAGAATATTATACTAAACTGTACTAAAGAATACAGAAAGGATACTTACAGAAGGCTAAAAAGATAATAATGAAAACTCGTGACTCTCCAGAGTCTCAACACAGCTTGGCACTGGTTGGCCAAAGAGTGGAAACAACTAACATGAAACCAACGAAACAATCTCCAAACGCATTCCACATGTGAGCACAACACAGGAGAAGCAAATGAGTTAATAACTGTTTTCCTTTTTCTCTTGGCACTGATTGGCCAAAGGGTCAAAACAACTCACAGCAGAAACCCAATGAAACAATCACCTGTGGGTAAACAATCTCCAAACACATTCCACATAAGCAAAGCACAGGAGAAGCAAATGGGTTAATAATTGTTTTCCTTTTTCTCTAAGGCTTCTCAGCTTCCCAGGAGAGAAATCCTGTGTGACGGGATTGTTCAGAGATTGTGAATGCCACGTGGGATGGGTACTGCAGGTCCTTGGCTGCTGTTGGGTGATGTGGGCAGGGTTGTGTCCCCACAGGATTCAGTTTGCCACTAAGCTCCCAGCAAAGGAGTTTTTGCCTTAGTTGGTGACAACAGAAGGCACTTCCATAGGGAGATGTCTTTTTACTGCTGAACTGTAATGCTGTGATTTTCACTTCGTGGAGAAGTCCTGTTCTTGTGGAAGGGAGGGGTGAAATTCAAGAGTGAGAATAAACTAAAATAAGCAAGATCAGCTTGGGTGTAACCAAAATCAGAAGCTGACTTTGCACTCAAAAGTGTTTTGCCCTGAAAATTTAAAACCTTCCATCGCCAGACTCTGGCAGCTTTTAATTCCAATGGTAGATCCATGTGATTAAAGATAGCAGAATTTGATTGTTATTGGTCAAAGCATGTCCTGATTGGCAGCTCTCAGGTGCACAAAAGCTGAATGGAAGTGTTGTGGATTTCTGAGTGGCCCATGTGGAGCAGTTTGTTAATAATACAATTTGATCCCCAGTGTATAAGAATATAAATATATATATATATTAATGTATATATAGGCTATGTGCATCAACAGAGCAGCTTTGGTGTATCCCTGCTATTACATTGCTCCAAGCAGAGGCATATTGTCAGTGTTGCTGCTAAGTATTCCTGCCATATATCCCATTTATTCTGCATCAAGGGAAGAAGAGATGAATATTCAGCCTCCAGCTTGTGCATACATTTAAGGAAAGTCTCATTTAAGGGTTCTGCTGCTGAAGTTACCCTTTCCCTTTCTGCTATGTGGGCACTGGAAACAGTGCATGTGCCAGTTGTGTGCCATGGGAATTCTCCTGGAGTGAGTGTTCCCTGCCTTCCTCCTGAAGTGAGCTGTACACACAGTCTTTGAATCAAAGCTGACATCCCTGCCTTGCATGTGCCCAGCTGTGAGCTAAACTTGTCTTTTTTGTTCTGGTCTGTGTGTTTTGAATAAACACAAGATTGATTGCTTAAAAAAAAAAAGGGAAAAAAAAAAGAAGTCTTGAAGATAAATACGGCTGAGAAATCTCTTGGCTTGGTACCAGTAAATCAAGCTGATGTGAGGGGTGAGGTGTTTTATTTTATTGGCCTCTTAAACTGCATTTTATTATGTGGATTACAATCAGTGTTACCAGAAAGGTGTACAGGGCTACAGACCAAATCTCAAAAGTGAGGGTCAGGGGGGTAAGAGAATTTACTGAATGTCATAATAGAAAATAACAATTCCCTTATAACCTGAGGCAACTGCTTTTCATGGATCTGCTGGAATTTGCCCTTTGGGTCGTGGCCACTCTGTGTGAATTGCCTTGCTTGACTGACTGCCAGTGTTCAGTGTGCCCTGCATCCCTTTTTCTCTGGTGGGTGATGTAACTGGACACCAGGGTGCTGAATGTGGGCAGCTGCCCTGTTAGTTTGGGGCTTTTTTTGTTTATTTTCTCATTCCCACTCCCATTTTCAGTGACTAAACTTTGTTGAATATGTCACAGTGTAATTTCCAAAAAGAAGAAATTAAATGCATGGGTTGTTATTCCAAAAGAGATTTAAGCATTTACGAGCTTGGCTCATTTTGGAACGAGGCATCTAAAATGCCCAGGAGGATCTCAGCCTTCAGGAACTTAAAGAATCATAGGACCTATGCATTGGTAAAAGAGAAACTGATGTTTTCTATGAAACTATGTTCTCTATGTGGAGATTTTTTTAAACTTCTTTATTTTGTGGTCAGACTTTTGGGTGGGGAAACAAAAACCAGCTTTAAACTGCACAGACCCAGTTGTGAAGGCATCAGTTCTGCACATCTTCATCACAGTGGCTGTATCTGTTGGCTACAGCATGGCTGGGGCTGGTTGTGTGTCATTAGGCTGTGATTTTAATCAGGAGCTGAAGGCCTTGGTTAAAAAGCAGAGTTGCCAAAATGGACTTGTTTAACAGCCAGGATGGCAGCACTGGGACAATGCTTTGTTTCTGCTCACGAGTCAGGTTGTACTGATGGGTGCTCATCTCGTAAATGTGCTGCCAGACAGGAATGGTGGAGTGATGGGACAAAGAATTTCATTAGATGGGAGAGAGATGGAACAAAATGGGCTGGTTCAGTTCAGCAGATCAATAGAACTTGATTTAAAGTCCAGCACACACTGAGCTTTTAAGAGGCGGCTGCCAAATAATTGTGGTTTATGATCCAAATTGAAGGAAGTTGATTAATTTGCAGACTGCTGCTCTGTTATTTATGGGGTGACATTAGTTACATCATGGTGCCTGTGGCCTGTGAGTAAAATGTCAAGTCATGTTCTGTCCTCCTGTGACGTGATGGTGCAGTCACCAGACCAGGAATACCTGAGGTGACAATAAAATGTCTTGGTTTGTGGCAGGATGATGTGAGTGCATGTGTGCTGTGAGCTTCATGCTCCATCCCCCTCCTACGCAGGAAATCAAAGGAGTAAAATTGTAGTTACTTCAAGCTCTGCCATTAATTATATTTTTCTCATTACAAATCGGTGTGTAATTTGAATTGCAAACTCAACTATCCTGGCAGAATAGATCTGTTTACCATTCAAAGCAAAATGAAAATTATTTAAATTAGTTAATATAGAACTCATTTGAATGAATTGGATGTTTATTCATGAACTAGCTGAGGCAAGTGTGAAGCTGTCCTTATGGTCTGTAGCTTTGGCACTGATCAGCTCTAATGTCACGTCCTGGGACAGAGATTTCTTCTTTATTGCATATTAACTGTGGTGTAAGCAGTGGGTAACTACAGCCTGATGTAGCTGAGTGTGAAATTTTCATCCTTCCTGACAAGGCCCTTCAGCACTTGAAATTCAGATGAGGAAGGGCAGCCTGCTTCAGAGTTCACTGGCAGTGGCAGGGCTCTGGTGGTGTGGGAGCCTTTGTTTCCTGCACTGTAAGGGTGGGATGTAATGTAGATTTTCCATCAGTTAGTTAAAATTTCCCCATTTTATCAACCTGAATGGAAACAGGGATAGAATTTATCCCCTCCTATGTCATACCCAAAACTCTTCCTCCTCTAAGTGCAGTTTGTTGCCTTCCTCATCCCTTGGACTGAGCATCTTTCATCCCTTTTACCCACTGGGCATTAAAAATTGAAGCCTAGCTAAACTTTGCTGATTACTGAAAGGAAAAGAGGTGTCCTTTAGCCTGTTCATTTCCATGTGTGTTTTCCTCTGCTGGTGACAGTTGAGTTCATGGCCACATCCACCATCGGGCGTGGAGAACCTGACAAGTGTAGTAGCTAAATTATGCATTGTGAAAGAGCAGGGATGTCCTGTGATTGACATTCAGGGAGTTTTTGTGCAGATTGTAGATTTCCAGCTGAGCTGACAGAGCCCAGGCTCCCCTGGCACTGTTGTAATGCATCCTGGAATGAGCTAAAGACACCGGATGAGGGAATTGCTTTGTACACTTGGAATTGCAGCAGTGGCTCTGCTTTGGTGCTGTTTACAGATGGAAATTCAAACAGGGCATTTCTGTGTGCAGATCTGTGAGCTGGAGTCTGTGGAGATGGAAAGAAACACAGCAGAGAGAGAACCAGGTCTATATTTTGATTTTGTGATAGGCTGGTGTGAAAATGGGGAAATCTCTGAACACTGGGTGTACCTGAGCTTGGTGACCAAGAAGATCAATCCCACTGTGATTCTGTGTGGGAAAGCAGCTTTCACTTCCCTGTTGCATCAATACAAGGAGGATTAAAGTTCAGAAGTCTGATCCTGAGTTAAAATAACCTTCTCTTTCATGGTGCTGAGCTTGACAAAGTTTAATCATCGAACATACCGTTAAGTTGGGGTAGAGTTAAAGCATTTTGCCTGCCCAGGCTTCCTGTGAAGGCAATCACCATCATTTAGTCAGTATTTGAGACAGTTTTTCATGTGGCTCTCAGGTGAGATTAAGGCCAAAGGAGGGAAATTTCACTGTGATTCCAAGTGCTGGGTCAGATTCTGGGCAGGATATGGTGGAAAAGGGAGATAACACTTGTGCCATGGCATATTGAATTGCCTTCAAATGACAACTTACTGCTTTTTTTGTTTGGTTGGTTTTATATATTATCATGTGAATCTATCCCAGAGCAAAATGCTGCTCTTTGAGGTCAGCAGTGTAAAGGAGGGGAGAAATGGATCTGGTTGGACTTGGTGAAATTTGCAGCAGGGTGATTCTGAATGGTCTCAGGATGGTCTGCTGTGTTGCAGGTGTGGGTTTGATGGCACTCCAAGGCACACAGAAAGCTTTTTTTGGGGTCCATACCCTTGGCTTTCAGCATCATTTTTGGAGCTGCCTTGCTGAATGCAAAGCTTGTCCATGGGTTCTCAAAAGAGGGACACAGAGATCAGA